ATTTTTTAGTTCCGAAATTATTTCTGATCTGTTTTTTTTTCTATACCTTTCTGGAGTTGTTTCTTTACTTCTAACACTATTATTTCAGAGATATCTGGTGTGTGATTTCCAGTTTCCTCAGTGCTAGTGTCTTCTACAATTGTACTGGGTGGACTCGGGGCTTGAGACTGCATTTTGTTCCTTCTCTTTGTCAGTTTGTATACCACTGTCTTCTGACCTTTGGTGTGGAGCTTAGATAGAGTTATTACCTTAGCACCAGGTCCGGATCTATGAAGTTCAGGTTCCTCCAGATGGGTGGTGTTTGGATGTGGCTGCTCTGCTCCACTTCTTTCTGCCACAGTCCTTAGAGTTGAACCCTTTGTGTCTCTCAAGCAAGTGTTCTGCTCCTGAATCAGCTGGGTGGGTCTTGCCTCTAGCCTCTTTGCAGGGAGTTCTGCTGAAGGGTTCCACACTGGGCCTGCCCAGTCTGTTTTTGATTGAAAAAGTGAAAGCATTTTCATTGAGTAATGATGACTGTTTTAGTTAACTTTCTCTCATTGCTGGGACAAGTATCTGGCACCAAAATTAAAAGAGGGAAAGGTTTATTTAGCCCCCAGTTTGTATAAGTTTCAGTCCATAAGCAGTTGGCTCCAAAGCAGGGTGACATAACAAAGGGGTAACAGTTCATGGAAGTAGAAGACAGCACAAGCAACTAGAGCAAAAAGGGGTAGACACAAACCTCTGTTCCTTACATTGTAAGCAGGCTACCTGCCCTTGGGTGGGTCCTCTACACTCTAGGATGTAGAATTGCTGAGTCACTTAGTTAAGCTTCTAAACTATTCCAGTTGACACAATCAATCAACCATTACAACATCTTAGGGGGTAAATAGCCACTGAACAGCCATGCTAGGAACTGTTTTCTATACCCTAGGATATAGAACTGCTGAGTCACTTAAGCCTCTAAACTTCCATTACAGTGATACTGTCTTATTCTTGTCATCTATTAATTTTCCTTACTGATTTCTTTTTTTCATTTTGATAGCTGCTCATTCCACCAGGTATATTCATTCTTTTTGATGTATGACTTGAATAACCAGTGGTACATGCATGACTGAGAAAATGGGTGCCACTGTAGCCACCAAAAACCAAACATGTTACGATGTTTTGCACATTCTGTACAAGCCAACTGCTTTTATGTATAAAATGTTTTAAAGAGATTCATAAATATAAATTTCCTTTAATTAAATTTATTGATTTTTATAATTTAATTGGTATGAGTATTAATATTTATATTGGGGCAGTCATTAGTCAGCTTCATATACCTTTTTAGATTTTGCCCATCTATAGAATTTTAAAGAATCTTATTAGTAAGTTGACCAATAAAAGCAGTCATCTTTTTGGACCACCAGTGGTACAAGCCACACAATAGGACAGTCTTGCTTGGAGCACCATTGATTCAAGCCAGCAGGAAATGTTAAACATCCTAAGCTTTTGTCATTCAGTTCTTCTAGGTAGTCATGTGAAGTATTAGACTGTCTTTCTCTTTTCCTTTTTCTTCATACCCCTTATTTAATTAGTCCCTAAGTTTTTATCAGTCCCCTTTTAATATCTTTACTTACAATTGTACTTCCCATTCTTTTTCTACTTCTTCCATTCTGGGTTAGACCTTCATGATTTGTCATCTAATAGTTTACCAGCTGGGTCTCCTTGCTGTTATCCCTCTCCAATCTAATCATAATGATTTTTATTTTGCTCCAAATGTATTGTTTCCATGATTTATTTTGCAGTTTGTCTTGGTTACTCTTCTCTAATTGCTGGGACAAAATAACCAACAAACTAAGGAAGGAAAGATTTATTTAGCTCACAGGTAGTGGTGGTTTCAGTCCATACTCAGCTGGCTCCAAGGCAGAGAGACATGTGGCAGAGGGCAGCAGCTAAAAACAGCGAAGAACAAAGGGAGGCACCTCAGCTGCCTCTGCTAGCTAGTCATTCTCCCCTTCTTACATTGTAGTACAAATTATCTGCCTCAGGGTGAGTGCAGTACTCAAGCTCATAATTTCAGCATTGGCTCACAAATTAATCACAAACTGTAGAATCTGTCCCATGACTGCATGAGGCTTTGGGGGGACACCTAGATATGAACTGTAACACATTTGTAAAATTGTGTTTTTAAGAAGAGTCAGGACAATTTTTTTTTCCCCTTTTAGCTCCACCTTTTCCCTTTTTAGCTGCACTATTATGGTTACTTGGTAAATACTAGATACATTAAATGTGCCCTACAATAAGCAAAGAATGGATATTGTGCTTAAATTATTCCTATATCCTTTGAAATATTATTTGATTTTGTTAATGTTTAGTTTTGATATTGTTGGTACTAACTCATTGAAAATATAAAAAAAGCATTATAAAGAACCTCTTATTCCACTGAGCCATCTCCCCGGCAAGAACCTCTTAATTAAAATACAATTGAAAAACTAATTTCTGTTAGAAGTTTCATGATATTTTGTGTCAGTTTTCTTGATAATATAGCAGTGTAGTTATTCTTGGTATTTCAGTTTAAATTGCAGGAAGATTATTTTTATGTCTTTGTAGTAGCTCCATTTATGACATGACTGCCAGGACAACACTTTTCATGTACATAAGCCTCACACTAACTTGTATATTAAAAATCTTTCTAACTTTTTTTTAGGACCAGTTTGGACAACATATAAAATCAGAAGTACATTTGAATTTTTATGTTTATTATGGTCCTGATCGTATTAGAGACCCAGCCTTGCTTTCAAAACAAGATATTGTTTTGACTACATACAATATTTTGACTCACGACTATGGAGTAAGTATGCTAATATACAAGAGATGTTTTAAAAAGGTTGAATTCAAGAACTGTGCTTAAAGTTTCCTAAAATACAGATTTTTATATTCCTCTTTTTCTCTTTTAAGTGCATAACATTATATAAAAAGTTAGCAGGATTGTAACACGTTGCAGAAAGTAGGTTGCATCTTTTTCTTTTAAAATTATTTATTTATTTAGTACAGGGTCTCGCTACGCAGCTTGGACTCATAGTGATCCTCCTATCTCAGCCTTCCTATAACTGGGATTATAGGTGTGCCCCTCTGTGTCTGGTTTAGGGGCTGTTGGGCCTGGCATGGGGTTGCTAGTCTTTCTCCCCTCCTTACATTGTAGTGCAAATTATCTGCCTCAGGGTGAGTGCAGATAATGACCCTGTGTGAAAAAACAAAAAAGAGCTGAGGATGTTGCTCAGGGACAGTGGGAATAAGTGAAGCCTCCTATGGTGACTTTCTGTCTTGAGTCTTCCTCATTCCTTAGCATATAACCTTTGCCAGGCAGGCACTCAGACCACTGAGCTATCTCCCAGCCCTTAGGCTGTATCTTCTTTTTACTGATTTGGCAGTGTGTATACTAGAGTGAGGTGAAACCTTGGTGTTGTTTTAATTTTAAATTTGTTAAATGACCAGTGTTGCTGAACATTTTTTACTTGCTGTTGTACTTCTTCATCTGAGAAATATCTATTCATTTTAGATGCCCATTTTTTATTTACAGATTGAAAACAAAAGACATTAGAAAAAATATTACGAGCTCTTTACTGTTTCACATACAGTTCATGAGGTTCATGAGGATTAACATTTTTGTAAATGGTAGAAGGCACTTTTCTTTTTGGGGACCTCATTAGAAGAAAACAGTACTATACTGGTTTATTATAAGTACCATTTAAGACCAAGGTAAAAACAAAAAACACCAAGGATATTCTGAAAGAACAAACAAATAAAATCTGGCTTAAGCAAAAAGGAAGAGAACATGATTTTCTTGATAGAGAAGATATTCACTAATGCCACAGCAGAGAGAAGTAGAGCTCCAGGTAGACAGCAGAGTCCACGTCAGCCAAGCCTGGAAAATAACCCAGCAAGACCTTGTGTGAAAAAACAAAAAAGAGCTGAGGATGTTGCTCAGGGACGGTGGGAATAAGTGAAGCCTCCTATGGTGACTTTCTGTCTTGAGTCCTCCTCATTCCTCAGCATATAACCCTGCCTTTAACAAAGCAAAACCCAGGCCATGGGAGTCTTTCATGTGAAGTACATGTGCTCATTGGGTGTGACATGCTGATTAGCCAACTTGAAATTGCGGTTTTTCATGCCTTTAATGTGTTAGTTCCCCCTGAGGGTAACGAAAGATAGTGGTGTGACTGTGCTGAGTCCATCTTACCCATGTTCCTTGGGGACAGTCTGACAACAACCTTTTATGGAGCAGCTTGAGCAGCAGATGCCTTTGCCAAGATGCTCATCATTTTGGAAATTTTGAAGGCCTTTAGGAAAAGTTGATGACAAGGACTCTACAGGAAAATTACCTCTGTACTGCAAAGATTCTGGGAGGAATGGAGGAGCTCAAGTGTCCTCTGGTTCCATAGTACATGAATACATTTACTGACACTTGGTGCTGCCTGGGTGGAAGGTAGTGCCAGACAAATGAAGGAGCTGCTGGGAGGAACTGCAGAGAGCCCTTTTGCTGTGAGCCAGACTTTAGAAATGAGGACAGGAAACACAATAGGTTGATTACCTAGTTTTGAGGTTGATATGTTGTACAAGAACTTGGTATGAAGATTTATGTGTATCTATCCCATAATCCCAGTACTTGAGAGGATGAGGCAGGAGGATACCAAGTTGGAGGTCAGCCTGGGTTACAGAGCAAGATCCTGTCTCTAAAACACAAAAATTAAAGTTGGTTTTTCTAGGAGTATTTATACTACAGTTCTTAGCAAGCTTTACAATAAAGGACTATTTATTTAAAAAAAAAAAAAGGTGTACTTCAAAAGAAAAAGCGTCTTGAAAATCTTACTACCATTATTTTTCATCATCTGATACTACAAAGAAAACCTTTTTTAAAATAAACCTCTTTTTCCTATAGTATAAACAAATTGTGGAATGTGATAAGGAACCATTAATTAGACCTAACAGTAAGGATAGTTAGCTAATTTAACAAGGGAACAAAAACTTTAAAAATGGTCATTAGTTTATTGACTTAATACTAAGAATTTTCAAATCACTGCATTTTGTTAATATTTTAATAAGAGGCTCCATCATAAAATATAGCCATAAAATTATTTTTAAAATGTGAAATATAGGACACAAAATGAATTTTCAGCAAGCCCCAGGGAATTCTTTTAATAAATTAAAAGTTCCCCTAATGTATATTTTGTTTAAAGTAATGATTTTGTCATGTAAATACATTGCAGGTATGAAAAGTACAGTATTACACTGCTTTTTGCAAGTACAAAATTCTTGGTTTATTCTTGTGCAGTTAAAAAATAAAACCAAAAAAAAAAAAAAGTAAAACCATTAGTGCCATCTGTTGTAGAAGTCTAACATCATGTTAAGTATTGCACAACAAATTTCAGAAAAGTGTCCAGAAGCAACAAATAATTGAAAAGAAACTTAACATTTTTACCATTTTACATTATTATCATCTTTAGTATTTTCTCTTCCCAAATCAAAATTCATTCCCCATCTAGTGTTCCTCTTGAGTCAGCAATTCTGTGCACTTGCTACTTGTGTTTCCCAAACTACTGTCATCTTTATCTGTTCTTTCTCACATTGCTTTAAAATAATAGACAAACCTGGTATTAGAATTAATGCAAGAGCTTTTTTCTTGGACATATCAAATGCAGCTCTGTACTTTCCAAAAGCTTCCATAATGTATGCAACACCAAAGGCAGCACTTCTGGAGATCCCTAAAATTTCACAGATGAGGATTTTTGCTCTGGTTTGTAAGCTCCCATCAGTAAATTTCACTGTGCTCTCTGTTGATTACTTGCTGCAGCAGGGCTATCTTGTCATCTGTTGTGCTAGCCAGGGACAGCAGCTTCCCTCAGAAGATGTCGATAGGGTTCATGGGCACCAGTACTCACACTTCCAGTGCCACCTTGCCACTCCTTTGAATGTGGGTGCCACTCACATATTCATTTTACTGGCCATGTGTGTTTTTCTGAGAAGTGTCTGTTCATTTCAATTGCTCATTTTTTATATTGAGTCTTGTTTTGTTGGTCTAGAGTTCTTTATTGTATGTTTTTTGTTTTTTTTTTTTGCGGAACCGGGGATTGAACTCAGGCCCTTGTGCTTGCCAGGGAAGCGCTTATTCTACTGAGCCATCTCCCCAGCCCTAAGTTC